CTTTTTTTTTTTTTTTTCTTTTTTTCTCTTTTTTTTCTTTAAAGATTTTAAGTAATCTCTATACTCAGTGTGGCCTCGAACCCACAACCCTGAGATCCAGGGTCAAGAGTCACATGCCAAGCGCCCCACCTGCTCGATCCTTATCTGAAGCACTTACTATTCCATAATGTCATGTTATTCTTTTATTTGTTGGTTTGTTGATTGTCTTTGTCTCAACTGTAATGCAAGCTCCATTAGAATTTGTCTTCTCGGCTGAATCCCCAGCACCTAAAACAGTGTATACACGTGGTAGGGACCCAATAAATATTTGCCGAATGAATCGTTAACATTTTGGTAACTATGCTTCCAGTCTCCCGTCTATCTTTTTTTTTAACTGATTTATTTCATAGAAAAGATACAGGGGCACCTGGGTGGCTCAGTTGGTTAAGTGTCCAACTCTTGATTTCAGCTCAGATCATGATCCCACCATCATGGGCTCAAGTCCTGTGTCGGGCTCTGTGCTGAACATGGAACCTGCTGGAGAGTCTCTCTCTCTCTCCCTCTGCCCCTCTCCCCAACTCGCACTCTTTAAAATAAATAAATAGACATTAAAAAAAAAAAAAAGAAAATACATAATACCATCTACCCAATTTTGCCTCTTGATTTTTAAAAATTTTATTTTAGAGACAGAGAGCACGTAAGCAGAGTAGAGGGGCAGAGAATCTCCGCACTGAGTGTGGAGCCTGACACGGGGCTCAATCCCACGACCCTGAGATCATGACCCGAGCCTAAATCGAGAGTCAGATGCTCAGCTAACTGAGCCACCCAGGCACCCTGCATCTTGGGTTTTTTTTTTTTTAATTTTTTTAAATGTTTATTTATTTTTTGAGAGAGAGACAGAGCACAAGAGGGGGAAGAGCAGAGAGAGAGGGAGGCACAGAATCCCAAGCAGGCTCCAGGCTCTGAGCTGTCAGCACAGAGCCTGATGTGGGGCTCAAACTCATGAACCGCGAGATCATGACCTGAGCTGACGTCAGACGCTTAACCAACAAAGCCACCCAGGTGCCCTGGTGCATCTTGATTTTTTAATGTACAATCAGATATGAAACAGTTCCTTAGTATTGACTCTTGATAAACACTTTAATAGTGGCATAACTATTTCTTGGGGTAGAGATACCAACATCTTCTTGAACACTCAGTTTATTCTAATCTTTTGCCATTGTAAATATCTATCTGATTTAGTACTTAAATCTTTTTTTCTTTAATTGGTGTAATTTCTTTAGGATGGCATCCTAAAACTGGAGTTACTGGACAAAGAATATGATGAGTACCTTTCCATTTCTTTTTTTTTCAACGTTTATTTTTATTTATTTTTGGGACAGAGAGAGACAGAGCATGAACGGGGGAGGGGCAGAGAAAGAGGAAGACACAGAATCGGAAACAGGCTCCAGGCTCTGAGCCATCAGCCCAGAGCCTGACGCGGGGCTCGAACTCACGGACCACGAGATCGTGACCTGGCTGAAGTCGGACGCTTAACCGACTGCGCCACCCAGGCGCCCCAGAGTACCTTTCCATTTCTTAATACAGGCTGTAAAAATGACAATATCTTATTTTTCCCTCTCTCTTTCCTATTCAGTCTTACCCAGCCTGCAAAAGCCCCGAGCCGACTTTGAACTTCTTCAACATTTACGGGAAGAGCCCTCTGATTGTGCACTTCCTCCAGAACCACGCCAGTCTGCAGCAGCACGGCAAAGACATGTTGATAGTCAGAAGGGAAAAAACCAAGAGCATCCCATATCCTTTCCTCCAGTGGGCAGGGCTCACGTTACGCCAGGCCTCTGCTTCTCCCAGAAGCAAGGGTGTGGAGAGGTACCCAGCCCTGAGCACAGTGCTTGGCGCTTAGTAGGTGCCCATCGAGGGTAGCCATTGATAGGAGCCTAAGGGTCGTTTTAGTTCCAAATCTGCCTCATGAGCTAGCTGTGTAGGATCCTGGGCAAGTTAAATTTCCCTGTGTGCAAAATCTCTTCCTGTCTACCAGGGTGAATGCTAACTAGGTGTTCAAACATATTTTGCAGCTCAGTAATGCCTCCCAGAGGCTCACTGACCCTAGAGTGTGTATCAATCAGGATTTTGGGTATGGGTTTGTTCTAACCTCCTCCTCACACACACGCCCCTCCTCCAGGCTCATCAGCAAATCCCTGGCCCTGTTGGCATTTATCTTAAAGATTGGGGAACCGGCTCAGATCTTAAGAAAACAGATGTGACATGTTGGTGTCCTGAGTCCTAGCAAGCAGTTTGCCATAGGGGGTCAGAACAGGGAATCCGGTAAACCTGGACTCAAGATAACAACCCAACTGTTGACCAGCTGAGTGACCTTAGACAAGGCTCAGCTTCTCTCTTAGCCTCGTTTGTTGTTGTTGTTGTTGTTGTTGTTGTTGTTGTTGTTTTCCATCTATAAAATAGGATAACGACACCCGCCTTCTAGGGCTGTTATGCAGAATACAGGCACAACAGCCATAAAGGCTTACCATAGTGCCTGGCAGGTAACAAGTGCTTGAATGTTACCTGTCAATACACCGTTTCCCAGCAGGAAGAGCTTCCAGAATGGACTGGGCAGCACTTGCCCGGTAGAGCTCATATCCCCAAGTGTATTTATATGCCTATAGGCAGAGAATAATAGCTCACATTTCATAGCACTTTATTATTCATAAAGCACTTTCCCATGTATCACCTCTTTGCTCAGTAGACAGTGGAATGCAGCGGAAGGAGCCTGGGCTGGGGACACATAGCCCCAGATCTGAGTCCCAACTCAGCAAGCCACCGGCCTTAAGGTCTCGTGTGCACAGTTTAACCTCTGAGCTCAATGTCTTGATCAGCTCCTTCCTCAAATAGGGATAATCATACCAAACCAATAGAGTTGTGACCAGGATTATGTGGTAGATGGCTGACTCTAAATAAGTAATAACTATCGTAATTATTATTAACATCATCTAAGGTAGGAATGATTATCCCTATTTTACAGAGGAGAAAATGGAGACGTAGACAATGACTTATCTTGACTTGAGATCCCAAACTTGTGAGATGCTGATGGATCCAGAAGGGGTAGAGAGGGAGGGGGAGGCACAGAGGTGGGGGAGGCACAGAGGATTTTTCAACGTACACACATGATATAGAGGATGAGCCCTTGGGACGGAAAGGAAATTGAAGTGTAGTTGACTTACAATACTGTAATAGTTTCGTGTGTGCAACGCAGTGACTTGACAATTCTATACATTATGAAGCACCTCCCACAATAAGTGTAGTTACCATCTGTCACCAGACAGAGTGGGAATTTTAGATGGCAGTACCAAGAAAGCATTTCCTAGCCTTTCCATCAGAGGGAGGAGAGAAGGGCTTTATTGGGGAGGATAGCCTCTTGCCTTCCAAAGTAGGCCATGGTCAAAGAGCAGGAGTCATTTCCTGCTCAGATTCCAGTGGTCTGGTCCAGAAGCAGGTCATTTTCCCCACTCTGCCATCTCACCACCCCCCACTCCCGGCCCGGCCATGCACGAGGCCATCCCGCTGATCAGGCTCAGAGTCAATAATACCAACTGACAATGTGGCGGTTTCCTTGACGGCTGAAGCCACTGAGTCCATCCTGACGTACGCCGAGGTCATCGAACTGACCCTGATCAACATGAAGAAACGGAAGGAAAACCTTCGTGTGCTGAACTGGCTCCACTGGAATGAATGGAGTTACTTTCACGAATACCTAAAGGCACTACAAGAAAACTTCCTCAGGTATTTAAGGGCTTTAGGGAAGGGGCATTGTTTGAGCACCTGTCTATTGTCACACGTGGCAGGTTTTAATTGGAGGCCTAGCCCTGGGACTATCTTTTTTTTAAGTTTATTTATTTTGAGAGAGAGAGAGAGAGGGAGTGGGGAGGTGGGGCAGAAAGGAAGAGAGAGAGAATCCCAAGCAGGAGCAGGCTGCGAGCTGTCAGCGCAGAGCCCAACGCAAGGCTTGATCCCACGAACTGTGAGATTATGACCCGAGCCAGAATCTAGAGTCGGATGCTTAACCGACTGAGCCACCAGGTGCCCCTAGCCCTGGGACTCTCTTAAGCACATTCAGCTTTCTTGTGGTTAGAATGTAAACCCCAGAAAAACAGAGACCGGATCTTTCCTTGAAAGTTATTTTTTTTCTTAAACTACAACATCATTTATGTTCAGTGAGAAGAAACAAACAGACCTGGAAAAGCACCTGGCCAACATTTTTCTAGAAAAAGACCTAGTCTTTTCTCCTGGGTCCGTAGAGGTGTATCTCTAAACAATCTAGTTTACAGTCTAGACAATCTGTCAACCTAGTTTTTAGACTTTTTTTCCTGCTTAGCAGCGCATGATGGATATTTTCCTGTGCCTCCAGCCATTTGCAATATTTTTAATTTCTTCCGAAAATGTTCAGACCTTCCAGAAATGTTAAAAGAACAGTGCAGTGAACATTGTATGCCCTCACTGTGTTTACCAGTTTTCCACATTTTGCCACATTTTCTTTCTCTCTCTAGTAATTAGGTCAAATTCATTTCCCCAGTGGTGCCCAGAATAGCCTTTTTGGTCCTACTTTGACTGCTTCCCAGTCAAAGATTGGGAATTAGGGGCACCTGGGTGGCGCAGTCGGTTAGGCGTCCGACTTCAGCCAGGTCATGATCTCGCGGTCCGTGAGTTCGAGCCCCGCGTCACGCTCTGGGCTGATGGCTCAAAGCCTGGAGCCTGTTTCCGATTCTGTGTCTCCCTCTCTCTCTGCCCCTCCCCCGTTCATGCTCTGTCTCTCTCTGTCCCAAAAATAAATAAACGTTGAAAAAAAAAAATTAAAAAAAAAAAAAAAAAGATTGGGAATTATAATTTTTGTGATATCACCTTGGTATCTTTTAATCAATACTGGTGCTCTTCCTCCAGCTTTGTTATTATTCCCTGAATCAATTATTACATTATTAGTTTCTTATGACATAGATTTTTTTGAAAGACTCAAGCCACATTCTGGATTTTTCTGATTATTCCTTCAGGGTATCATTTATTCCAATATATCCTCTATTTCTTAAAAAAATTTTTTTTTCATGTTTATTTTATTTTTGAGAGAGAGAGAGAGAGAGAGAGAGTGAGAGAGAGAGCCTGAGTGGGGGAAGGGCAGAGAGAGAGAGGGAGACACAGAATCAGAAGCAGGCTCCAGGCTCCGAGCTGTCAGCCCAGAGCCCGACGTGGGGCTCGAACTCAGAAATGGTGAGATGGTGACCTAGGCTGAAGTCAGATGCTTAACCCACCCAGGCGCCCCTATCCTATATTTCTTGTAGATGGGACATCGGGGCTATCCTAGGTGCTTGATAGGATTCAGATAAGATCTTTTTGCCAAGAACACCTCATAGACAATGTTGTGAATGCACACTGCAAAACACCAGGAGACACTCGGTGTCAGGTCAGCCAGACGCGTGGTCTCTGCCAGACCTCTCCACCGTAGACTCCATTTTTGTGTCGTTAGTCTGTAATAAGCGACGTGATTCCTTGAGACTGGATGAATAGGTTCTCCCCACATCTTCGCCCAGTGGTTTTAGCATCCCTGGATGGTCTTTGCCCGAATCAGTTCTTATATTTGGGTTTGCAAAAGGGCCATCTTCCGCCTCCACCATCCCCTCCCCATTTAATAGCTGGCACTTCTCTGTAAAGAAGAGATCACCTTCTTTCGCTCCTTGTGTCTCTCCCTCTCGTGTCTTCTTCGCCCGCTCCCGTAACTCTTTCACAGGGACATCCTGGCCACAAAGGAAGCTTAGGAAACATCTGGCAAAGAGAAATTAGATGTCCATGACTGGACCAGAGCAGGACCCGCTGGGCACTTCATTACCCAAAATAACACTGGATTCAGGGAGCAAGGGAGAGAAAGAGAGAATGGCTGTTGGCTAGGCAGCTATCTCTATCTGCCATAATAGGAGAGAAAGACAACTATGAACACATAGGTAACTACTTCAGATTCCAAGTGATATAGTGGCGTTAGTTTCAAAACATGATCCACGCACACTCACAAAAAACCCAGTAAACACCAGAACCACAAAAATGCAGTTCAGCCTAAATGTTCACCAGAAGATGATTGGTTAACAAGCTGTCATATGTGCATATCTGCAGCCAGTAAAAATGGCACTGTGAATTTAATGCTCTTATTTCATAAGGAAGGATAGTCACAACATATTATTGAGACCAAAAAAAAAAAAAAAATCAGGATGTGGGGTGCCTGGGTGGCTCAGTCAGTTGAACGTCTGACTCTTGATTTCAGCTCAGATCATGATCCCAGGGTCATGGGATCAAGCCCCGTGTCAGGCTCAGCACTAAGCATGGAATCTGCTTAAGATTCTCTCTCTCTCTCTCTCTCTCTCTCTCTCCCAAAAAAAAAAAAAAAAAGGTAGTTAAAAAAAATCAGGCTGTAAAATAGTGTGTGTGATAGACACAGTTATTTATCCCCATTTTACAGAAGTCGAGGTCAGGGACAGAACCTTAGAGGGCCACCACATATATGGGGAGGACAAAATATGGGGCAGAGGAGGAGTGGCCAGAAGGAAAGCAGAGCCTGTATGTCAAGATGCACCAACCATGAGGCCAAGGGAAGAAAGGGTTAAGGGAAGCAGTGATCAGCAGTGGGCGTGCCAGATGGAGAAGCCTGGGGCTGAGACGAGTTTGGTGATTAGGTAGAGGGTGGTCTTAGCAGGGCTGAAGTCCGACACCAGAGTCTGGGACCTTAGGGGCAAGGTGTGGACCCCCAGGGGTGAAGGAGACCACTAAGAAGCAGAAGGAACAAAATTCTGTACCAAAAAGGGCAAGGTTGGATGGTGAGTAATAGGGCTGTTTAAATGTAAAGTGGAAGATACAAGCCGGTGTGAAGGGGGAGAGATGGGAGTTGCAGGTGAGGGAGGAGAGGGTCAGGATCAGGAAGCGAGGGGACCCGGAAACGCTCTCCAGGACTCTCCTTGCTTCTGCCTTCGTTACTTTAGTTCCACATGCTTTGTTTCTTCTATACTTTGTTTCTTCTTTACTCATCGTCCCAACAGATTTTCAGCCACTTCTAGGCACCGGGTGTTATGTCCTGTTTAGAACATACATGTCTGTCTCTCCCAACAGTTGCAACAATCCTTGAAGGTGGGATCCTTGGAATGACAGCGGCTAGGGTCGGGATGGAAGGGTTTTTATTTGCTGGCTCTGCGATGTCGGGCCGGTCACATGTATTCAGTTTCTTTGTTGGTTAAATGAAGATAGTATTTCCTACCTTGGAGAGTGGCACCGATCAAGTAAAATAAGGCACATAAAGCCTGTTTACAGGGCCAAGCCCACAGTAGGTAATTGGACCACTTAGAATAAGGCTTAGCTTCGAGTGACGAAAGAACTCAAACTAGTGGCTAAAACAGGATACAAATTTATTTCTACTGTTTAAAAGGAGTCCAGTAGATATGGCAGGTTGCAGTGTCAGGGACCCAAGTCCCTTTTGCCTTATTTCTCCATAATCCTTCGCCCATGATTCAGCTTCATAGTCTAATATAGCTGCTCGAGCTCCAGCCAACAGGTCCACGTTCCAGCCAGTAAAAAGGAAGCTAAGTCCGAAGAAATGCATCCCTCCTGTGAGTCCCATGCAAACCTTCCATTTTTCATTCCATTTTTCATTCCATTGACCAGAAAGAGTCACACCTAGCTGTGGCATTAGCAAGGCGAAAATAATTTAGGGCTCATACTACATTTATTGAACATTACATCTACAGTGTATTTATTTCAGCGATATATAAGGACATCCTTGTCTAATAAAGGCATCCTTATCAGGTGAATTGTAGTGTAGATCTTTTAAGACAGGAGAAGCTTTGTAATTGTGTGTGAGCAATCTCATTGCTAAATATATCCACTTTTTGTTGGAGAAGGCATTTCATGAAGTGATTCTAAAAATTTTGTCTACAGAGGAAAATGGTGGCCTCAAAACACATCTGTGCTGTCAGACATCAGGGCAGGGCTACCCCTGGGAAAGTAGGGCCTGACTGAGTAGGATATGGTTGTGGGGGCCTCTGGGGAGCAGGCAGTGGTCTGTTTCTTGACCTGGGTGCTGGTTGTGGGTGGGCTCAGTACACAAAAACTCCTTGAGCTGCACATTTAGTCTATGAACTCTTTGGTATCTATGTTCTAAAGGAACATATTAAGGAATTCCTTTTCCTGGTGTGTTCCTTTCCCTTGAAATACTACAGTGGCTTTGCAGTTACCTTAGTTTTTAAAAGAGTCCCATCAGGGGCGCCTGGGTGGCTCAGTCGGTTAAGTGTCCGACTTC